ATTGACATTCTGTTCTCCTCAAAATCTGTGTTCTATTGCTCTTCCATCTCTCTTCTTCTACATCTTCTTCACTTTCTCTTCTCATCGAACCTAAAATCTCTTGGTGATCAAGACTGAATAGCAGTCTTGAAAACCTACAAAAGTATCACAAATGTGTATTTTTTTTACATTTTTGTAATTTTCTATATTTATTTCTATTTAAAAATTTTATTACCTAACTATGACTTCATAGGTTTATCAATTTGATTTGAATGGTTGAATTGCTTAGCCATCACTTGGATAAAAGAATGTTTTTGCTTTTTAGCCAATTTTAAAATATATGGGTTTGTATTGTTAAAAATATTGACATAGATCTAACTAGTACCATTTGTTGGTGAAAGATAACTTAAATATAGGATTTAATAAGAGAAAATGGAAGTTAATACTTTTAAGTATAAGACTTAATGAAATGGGATTGAATGAGGTGGAAAGTAATAATTGAAGTTACATTTTCAACCCTTACAATTAGAGATATAATAAATAGACAAATATGGGCATTTTAGTAGCCATCAAAAGTTGGCATTAAAGCTGCAATAAAATGACTTTCATACCCTTTATCAAACAAAGAAATAGAGTGTAATTTTAGTCCATTAAAAGTTTCACACTACATTCACACTTTTATATATTGTATGTGTATATACATAATCTAATCGAATATATATCAAATCAAATCACATTGTATTCATATTTGATTCGATATAAACGATATGAAGATGAAATTCAAATTTGGCCGTTTAAATTATTCGAATCATTCGAATTCGATTTGATTAGGGCGAATCTCAGATTTGAATTCAGATATTCGAATATCGTTTACAAGAGTAACCCAGTCAACCTACAAGCAATTTTTGGTGAAAATCCACGAAAGCCCATAATAGCTACATTACAGATGGCATTCCACTGAAGCTTCTTTTAGTGTCTTCTCCAAAGCAGCTCAATCAAGGCTTCAACACTCTCAAATGGGCCATTGTTATGGTGCAATTCAGTGGGTTGATTTAGAATGCAATGGCCATCTAAGTTCAATTTGAGGATTGAATAATCAATCTCTGATCAGTGAATAAATGATCAATCTGAGCTGGTCAAGCCTAATCCAGTCTGATTGTAATTCATTTATCCTTGGTTCAACTAGGATTTGTTGTAGTTGTCTTGGATTCGCTGACAAGGAATATAGGGCCTTTTGAGTCTTGACCTCATTTGTCTGTTTGCTTGGAATAATACTTGTACCACCAAGCTTACTATTATTGTTATTAATATTATTGTGCCCATAACATATGATAGTAAGTAATATTAATTTGCTGGCTTGGATAGGTATTGATTTTCCAAGCTAAGCCCAATCAAAGGTCTCAAAGTACTTGCCTTGAGAAACTTCTGTAATACTAGATGAATTTAGTTGTCTAAAACTTTATTAACTTTTGTAATGATTAGAATAGAATCACCTTTGAGGATTTCAGGCTCAAGGAGTAGTAGGTATTTGGTTGTTTATGGGCCTAGTATATAACTGAACTATTGTGGGGGAGGGCTTATTGAATACTAGGGCGCACCTAGGCACACAGGTGAGGTGCATTTTAAGGTATGCGCCTTACTTAGGCCCTAGGCACAACACTTTCAAAAGGCACATACCTGGTGCGCCTTGTGCCATAGCCAAGGCATACACCTTTTTTTTTTTTGCGCTTTTTGTTCTTTTTTGAACTTAGAACTGGGCTAAGGGCTCTATGCTCGGATCCCCGACCAAGCCTCCTTTTTGGTAATGTTGTTCATTCATTCATCCTAATAAAATATCTTCTCAAAAGGCAATTAAAATTATAAAATCTTTTTTTCTTGTGTAGGGATTAAAAATTTAAGACCCTAACCACTTGGTGCAAAGGTGGCTCATAGAATCGGGAATGCAAAATGTTTTCCATCACGTTAGCTATTTGAAGTAATGCAATTGGAAAAAAAGAGGTTGAGGGTTTTACATGCTTGAATATGTTTTATATGTTTGATTTTATTTTTAAATTTGATCTGAGTATGTTTTGCATGTTAGGTTTATGCATTTTAATTTTAGACAATAGGTCTTCCTAAAACATTTATTTTAAAATTTAAGTTTATATTTTTAATTAATATTATGTAATATTTTTATCTCTTTTAATTTTTTTTTGCATTTTTTTTTATTTTTTTGCATTTTTGCACCTTGCTTTGAAAAGGTGCACGGCCTTGTGCCCTGTTCCTCGGGTGCAAATTGTCCCTTGCGCTTTTAAGACAATGGTATTGGGGCTGACTCCTTTTAATTGTTCTATTATTGGAAAGAATCATTTTTTTGTAATGTTTTTTTACTGTGTATAGATCTCTCTCACTCTCTCTTTCTCACATTTCTCTGATGCTTAGTGTTTGACTACATTTGCTAGGTTTTTTGCCAAGTTCATTCTCTATGTACGCTGTCACTCTTTCATCAGCTCTATTTCTTCTTCAAAAACCTGCCATGGCAGTTTCAGTTGCAGCTGCTGGGGTGATCCTTGGCTGGCCATTCTCAATATTGGCTGTTCTGCCAATTACATGCTACTCTTTAGTGAAAAAATTCAAACAAGTATTTCTTTCTGGTGTAGCAACCACTGTTGCTCTTCTTGTAAGTTGATTAGAAAGCTATCTCTTCTAGAGTGCATATCTTGTGCCTGATGTAAAATTTTATTTTTGTTATTGTTGTTGTGTGTGCGTGTGTTTGAGGGGGCATCAAAGACAATTTAATTCTTAATGTTGTTGGGCTTTAACAATTTAAAAAGTTTTGGATTTGTTCCAGGCACTCTCAGTTTTAATTGATTATTGCTACTACAAAAGATGGACATCATCCGTCCTCAACCTACTGGTATACAATGTCTTGGGGGGCGGTGAGAGCCATTTGTATGGGACTGAAGGACCACTTTTTTATTTGAGGAATGGATTTAACAATTTCAACTTTTCTTTTGTTTTTGCATTATTGTTCCTGGTGATCCTTCCAATTAAGAGAGAGAAGTATGCCCCAGATTTTCTGGTTGTGGTCTCACCCATTTACATTTGGTTGGCATTTATGTCTTTGCAGCCCCACAAAGAAGAAAGGTTAGACCGATGCGCACATCTATGTTTTCTTATCCTTTCAAAGCTTGAATATACTATTTTGTGTTTTATTTTTTTTCTCAACACAAATTCTGATGGTTTTCTTGAAGTGAAAAAATGGATTTGGTTAGGTTTTGATTATCTTCCAGTGTCTATATATTTGAAGATCATTATATTCTTCCTACAAAGTTGTGCTCTTTTGACATGACATATTTCTAAATCTTGTGAGGATTCTATAGGTTGCATCAGAATTATACAGAAAACCATGGAAAGTAAGCATTTCAGATTAAATCTGGAAATACCTATAAAAAAAGTAAATCTAGAAATTTCTTCAGACAATTGATCTTGCATAAGAATCAAATATGAAAAGATGGTACGGATGATAGGGGGTTAATCTTGTTTCTTATTTGTTTTTTATTTATTTCTGTGCACTTGGGGACCATAGTTGTACAATACTTCTCTTGTACTAGATGATGCCTATATGTATTCTTGTACATATATTGTATAAGGGGAGAACTGTCCTTTTTTTTTTGATAAGTGAATAATGATTTTATTAATAAGAAAGGGAGTGTACATTTACCCTAAGAGGAAGCACAAGATGTTACCTCCCTTTAGAGGTGAGAGCATAAAACAAAACTTAGCAGACTACAATCATAGAGTGGCAGGAAATAACTCAACCCTTGAGACCTTGTTTTGCCAAAAAATCTACAATGGCATTTGCTGATCTGCTGACCCACTGATAGGTGACTGACATATTCCTTGTGAGCCAATTAACTTTCTTAAGAAGATCCCTGTAGCCCCATAGAACTGTTTCTAGACTCAACAACCAACCCACTACCACCTTAGAATCTCCCTCAACTATCAGATTTTCCACTCCTAGTTGGTTTGCAGCATGCATTCCTTGCACCGTAGCCAGTATCTCAGCCTTTGTTGAATCTCCAACTCCCACTGGTCTTGAGAATAGGGATAGGATGTTTCTATCCTTATCTCTTAAGATTCCTCCTATGCCTGAAGGCCATGGATTGCCTAGACTGCTGCCATCAAAGTTCAGCTTTACCACACCCTCTATAGGAGGTTTCCACTCTATCTGTAGTCTATTCTTTTTGGGGGCTGTGGAGGCCAACTCTGCCCAACTTTTCCAGAGATCCTCAAAAGAATAACCTCTGAACAGATCTGAAGTTTTTAGCCAATGAATTGTTCTTGTCAAAATGCACTTCGCTTCATCAATGCTTCTTTCCTTTTCTTGGAATGTTTTAAAATTCCTTTCCTCCCAGATATGCACTTAGCTTCCTGGTTGGGGTTGTTAGTTGGACACATCTGACCATTTCCTGTGTGCTTTATTCTCAGTGTGTTGTGAAACTAAGCTGACATCAACAGTCATAATCAATTGAAACAATTAGTCCATGGCATACAGTCGGGGAAAAGAGGTCATGGACTTCAAAGACTTGGCATATTGAGGCACTTGGGTTTTGGAAGTTCCAATTTCAGCTTGAGTATTTATTTCAGGGCCTGTCAAGATGATGTCAAAAGTTAGGTATGACACTGTGAGTTAGGGATCAAAATTAGCATTGGAGCTGGGTTATTCTAGATGTAAAACTAAACTAGGCTCTTAACAACCCCCTCCAAATAAAAAAACAAGAAAGAAAAGAACTAGATTCTTATGTAATACTGCTCACAATATATGCGGCATGCATTCTAAAGGTCCTGCCATCTCTACAATGGGTTGTGCGGTATGGAGCTGTATTCCAAAGGTCCTCCCTGATTTTCTGAAAGGAATCAGTTACAGGGTAGGCGAAGGCAATAATGGTATGGGGATTTTACTCTACAAGAAAGATTGCCCTCTCTTTGATGTAGCCTAAAATAAAGATCCTGTGGTTGAGGAGTACTATGATCAGATGAATGATAAGATAATCTGTCCAATCACAATTAGATTGCTGGAGCCTTTGCAGAACACTTCAGATCAATTTTCAGAAGACCTTTAAATAATGGAACTTGGGTCGAGGGGTTGGATTGGCCTTCCTTGAATGTAGAAGATAGGGTTTGGCTGGAGAGGAGGTGTGAATTGGAAGAGGTGAGAGAGGCTGTTCTTTCTATGGACAGATCAAAGGCTTCAGGCCCAGATGGTTTTACAATGGCCTCTTTCTCATTTACAGTTTGCAGACGATACGATTCTCTTTTGTGAAGGTGGAGACTTGAATTGGATTAGGAATTTGAAAATCATTATACCGATTTTTTAGCAAATGTCAAATCTTAAAGTAAATTTTGAGAAAAGTTGTATTGTAGGGCTTAGTTTAGGGGAAGAGGAGATCATGGAGTGTGCCGTGTCCAATTGGCCCTTAAGTTACCTTGTCTTGCCTTTGAGTGATAATCCTCGGAGAGAAGGATTCAGGAATCCAATAGTGGAAAGATTTGAGAAGAGACTAGCCTCTTAGAAGAAAAATTATTTATCACTTGGTGGGAGAATCACCTTAATTAGGTCCGTCTTAGCCAACTTGCCTGTGTATTTTTTGTCGGTGTTTAAGATTCCGACAAGGGTGGCTAGTAAGCTAGAAAAACTAATGAGGGACTTTCTTTCTGAACCAGGGGAGGAGAAAAAGGACCATAGGGTGGGGTGGGAGGTGGCATGTAGAAGTAAGAAGGAAGGAGGCCTAGGTGTAGGGAATATAAGGAAGAGGAATTTAGCCTTATTAGGGAAATGGTTGTGGATATTCTCTCTGAAAAAAGAAAAGTTGTGGGCTAAGATAGTGAATAGTATTCATGGACTTGCAGAAAATGGATAGGACTCCGGTGTTCTGGCAAGGACCACAAGGTGTCTCCTTGGAAAGCAATCCAAGCTATTTTGCCTTTCTTCCCTGGATCAGGTATGATTTGCACTCTGCCCACCTTATTAAATTTCGGGAACAAGTTTCGGTTGGGGATTCTCCTTTAGAGGATCAGTTCCCAACTTTATTTGACATCTCTACTTTCAAGGATGAACCAATTTCTACTTTCCTTGTACCTTCTGAGTCCTCTTCGGGGTTTGGTTAGAATTTGGGACTAAGAAGAGAAATCAGAGACAGAATTGGATAGTACCTTATCACTCCTTTCCATCCTTGAGGGAGTGTTGGAACCAACAGAATTTGGACCCTCTCTCCTTCTGGTACCTTCTCTTGTGCTTCCTTTTTTCAAGCCTTAACACAACCAGCTGTTCCTTTGGTCTGTCCTTTCCTGTTAAGGAGGTGTGGTCTCAACCTATTCCTTCGAAGGTGGGAAGTTTCTGTTGGGAAGCCTTCCTGGAAAGAGCTAACATAGGAGATCTTCTTCAAAGAAAAAGGCCCAATAGATGTCTATCTCCTCATTGGTGTGTCCTCTGTAAAGCCGTTGGTGAGTCTGGGTTTCACTTACTAATTTCTTGTCAATTTGCAAACTATATTTGGGAATGGTTTACTTCTTTATTTGGGTGTAGGTGGAACTCTCCAAGGGATGTGCAAAGCTTGTTTACTTCCTCTCCTAGTTGGCCAACTAAAAGAGCAAAGATTATGTGGAGATGTGTTAGGGTCGCGTGTGTTGGTCTATTTGGGAAGAGAGAAACTTGAGAATCTTCTCAGAAAGGGAAAGAAGTACAGAAGCAGTGATAACATTGATTCATGCAAGGGTAGTTCATTGGCTGAAAACATTGGACTTATTTATGGACTTTTCTCAGTTGATGATTTGCTAGGAATTGGAAGGAAATTGCAGATTCAGCCCCAGCCAAGAGGGTCTCAAATTCTGTTTGGACCCCTCCACCTATTGGCTTTACCGAACTGAACTTTGATGGCAGCAGCATGGTCAATCCTGGGCCCTCCGGAATAGGGGGAGTCTTGAGGGACGAAAGAGGGATTGTGATGGCTATGTTTTCTGGCCCAATTGGAATAGAGGACTCATTGAGGGCTGAGATTTTAGCAGCTGTGGAAGGGATTCAAAGGGCTAAGGACTTGAACATAAACAAGCTGATCTTAGAAGGAGACTTTGAAACTGTAGTTAATTGGTTAAAAGAAGAAAATTCAAGACTATGGAGCTACAGCAATGAAAAGAGGAAATACAACTGGTTGACAAAAGATATGGATGTTCAATTATCAAAAAAAAAAAAAAAAAGATATGGATGTTCGATGCACTTGGATAAAGAGAAGTGCAAACTCCTTTGCAGATGGGTTAGCTAGACAAGGGTGAATAGGAGCTATGTTTTTTGGGCTCAACTGCAATTTTTTCTGTATTTTTGGCTTTACTGGCATTTGTAAGTAGTTAAGTTACTTTAGCTCCAGTTGAATGTTTTTTTTTTATCACTTAATCAATTAATGAAATCTCTGTTATTGATCAAAAAAAAAAAAGAATGATAAGATAATTTGGGCTCAACCTTTAGAAGAAATCTAAATGATTCATAAGTTAGCCCAATGGCTGATTTGTTGAATGTTATTCAGGCATAAAACCTAATACTGAAATGATGGATGAAAGAATTTGGTCTTGGGAGAAATAAGGCAAGTTTTCAGTTCAGTCCTTTCTATTTGCAACCTCTCCTCCATGCAGGAAAATGCTTTCCCTTGACTAGATTCTGGTGTTCACATATCCCCTCAAAAATAGCGCACTTGATATGGACTGCACTGCTGCACTTGATATGAAGTCCCAGAGTCCTCAAATCTCCTTTTCGTTCATTGCAAATTCTCACACCAGTTGTGGGTAATGGTAATTTCTTTTCTTTCTTTGGTGCACACTTCTGCTTTCCTGAATCAGTAATACAGCTTCTGCAAGGTTGGAGAATTAAGGGTTTGAACAGAAGGCATAAATTATAATCGAATACACTCCTGTCAGCTATCATTTGGTCAATCTGGAGGGAAAGAAACCATTATATGTTTGCCAACAAAGATACTGATGTGGAGGAAATAAAGAGAAATCTAATAGGTTTGCTATGTTCTTGATTTGGTGTACAGAGAATTTTTCATGGTGTCCAATTTAGTTCTAACCAACTGAGGAGTGGCTCAGTCAGTGTGTTAGCTGGATCGTTCCAGCATAGACACAGATTCGATTTCCACAGCCACCAATGTCGGGGAAGGGGGGGGGTATTAATGGTGAGTATCACCAAATACCCAAAAAAGTTATAATTTGGAAGTTGGACATTTCTTTGGACGACTCTTCTATGTTTCTTTTTGTATATTCCCAATGTACAGGTTCTCCTTGTACATGGGCTGATGTACTCACTTTTTGCATATTAATATAATTAAATACTTTACCTTATTAAAAAAACAATGTATCCGGTATGCCGGTTACCGATGGCTTCAACACCAGGTTACCCCACTTACCCCTAACAGTGGGGCGGCTAGGGATGACAAGGGCTAATTTGAACTCCAAGATTCAAATCATATGGGTTCTTCAGTGATTCAAATGGGATTATGGGAATAAACCCTAGGAAAAATAAACAATGGATCAAGTTGAGTGCATATCTATGACAAAGAATCATAAATGTGAATATCCCCCTTCATATGGTTTATATTGCTTTGGTATGTCAGATTTGGGTGTTCCCTTCTATGTTTTCCCATTTTGTAGATGACTGCAATGGTTGATGTTAGTCCAACTTTACTGTCTTAGTGATTAAGGGAACTATATTTTTGTCTCTAATCCCTATTCCTTTTCCTCTGATCTGCATCTGAAGGATATGGCCTTTGGATGAGAACTACATTCCATGTTGGTCTTGGCCTTCAAGAACCTCCTTGTATACTGTTTCAGACACTTGCATTTAAGTTGGGCTTTGAAAAGTTGATCCTCCATGCTGGGAATGTTAAATGTTTAACATTCCATCTTAGGATTGATTTGCAGAAGCATATTTAAGACATTTAATAAGGGGAATTAAATGGCTGGTATTCACTATGAACCACTTGTTCAAATGGATTCCCAGGCCAGTAAACAGCTTAGCAGATATGCGGGCTAGGTAGGGAGTGAATGAAAATGTCTTGGACTGGGGTCTGCATGGTCCTGGGAGGGATTTGTATTAGGAATACAGGCAACAAGTTGTAACTACAACTAGTCAGAGACTCAAAAGTGTTGGTTGCACCTTCGTACATTCCATCTCTGTGATGTATTTGCTTATTATGCCTGCTATTTTAAGACACAAAGGCATTGCATTGACAGCGATTTTGCAGTGGATATGGCCACGATAGAAACTAAGCAGAAACTTGGGGCCTGTTCGTTTTCTGGATTTTGAAGGGGGGGTGGGGGGAGTTGGTCAATGGGACTTTGTTTCCCGTTGACCAAGATACCCATGTTCTTTTTTCAGATTTATGTGGGGTCCATGGAAAATTTATTTTCCCAAGTGATACCTGGGAAATAAAAGAACATGGGTAAATGCACTTACCCGGGTAAGTAACTTTCTGAAAAGCGAACAGGGCCTTAGGGTTAAAGGTTGTTCTTGGGTAGCTGAATTTTGAGGTTCACTTCCCTATGATTTAATGGTACCATTTTTTAATAAAAAAGTCTAAAAAATTATTGCATTTCTAAATTACTGAAGGACATGTACCAAAAATTCTATAGTGTCTTAGACAAATCTTAGACCTAGACAGCTTAAGCCCATTCATGACACACATCCTTTGAGTGGTTGAGAAGGGCTTGCCATGTTAAACCCGAGTTTAAATTTTCAAACCTGCTCATTAGACAAGCTTGGATGCTGAGGTTGAAATATTTAGTTGTTTCCTTGTACCTGTCTAGATTATGATTCTTTGAATAATTTCAAGATTGTTGGTCTGGCTTGTTGTTGTTATGAGAGATGTAAATTGACTTCTAACATTCATTTATTTGCACTACAGGTTCCTTTATCCAATATACCCACTTATTTGTGTTGCTGCTGCAGCTGTCATTGATAGTTTTCCAGATCTTTTCAGGGATAAGTACAATCCCAATGACAATTCCTGGATTGTTATTGTGAGCTTCGCCTATATTCCCATACTATTTTTCTTCAACTTTACTGAAGACACATTAATAATCATCTGCACTTCCGTTCATGCATAAACAGATTGCCAAAGCCCTCAGACCTCTGGTTCTTAGTCTCATATTGTGTGCATCTCATAGCCGCACATTCTCCCTGATTCATGGTTACTCTGCACCCTTGGAGATCTACAAGCATTTGGAACACCATGACGATGTTGGAATAGGTTAGAACTAGTTTTTTGTTACTGGTTTGTTATGTTGGTTTCAATATTGAGACATGGGTAGTTCTAAGTATTTGAAGCTATTTTTTCTATTCAAAGTTGATACATGTAGAACGATATATCTATACTACTCATCCATTTACTTTAATTTTCAGGTTCTGTGGTATGCATTGGTAGTGAATGGCACCGGTTTCCATCATCCTTCTTCATCCCTGACTATGTGGGTGAAGTTCGTTGGATAGATGATGGGTTCCAAGGCCTCCTTCCATTGCCATTCAATTCTACCTTGGGTGGGACTGCAGCAGCACCACATTATTTCAACAACAAAAACAAGGCATCTGATGAGCAATATGTAAATATCCCCTCCCTGGTCTAGTTTTAATTTTCTCTTTCACTCTCTAAGATTGTTGGTTCAATCCAAATCTGAGCAGTTATACAGGTTGACTTGTGCTTGTAAATCAATCTCAGTCATGTCTGGATGTTGGGTTGAGCATATGTAAATAAAATTTGCCTTTTGTCACACAAATCCAGGCCTAATGAACACAGTCCATCCAGCCTGATTAATCTATCGGAGCCAATTTGTTGCAAGTTGAGGTTTAATAAATTAGATGCGGTCAGGCTGGGCTCAGGCTTAACTGTTTGTGTTGGATTTGGCTATAGGATGACAGTCCAGTTTCCTAGGGTTGGGCAGGTTCAGTTGGTCCTAACTCCTTGCCAAGATCAAACCTGTCTGGTTTGCACCTCTATGGTTTCTTTGTATTTTCAGTCCTCTAGGTAAGTGATCCATCTAATATGTTCTGGTTGAATTCAATGTGGCAGCTCAGAGATGTTGATGCCTGTACTTTCCTTGTTGAATTGCAACTAAACCGGCCTTACCTTTCTCGTGGCAGTGACCTGTCAACATGGGAGGTAAGATCTGTTTGAAATGGATTGCCATTTGTTTTCAGTATTCTCTCCCTTGATTTTTCTGATTGATTGAATTTCAGGTTGTTGCTGCTTTACCCTTTCTGGATAGGGAGTTTTCACCTCCTATGTACCGGTCATTCTTCATTCCATATCTATGGCAACATAAAAATGTATTTGGTATGTACAAACTGCTGAGGAGAATACCCAAGTGATCTGGGATTGACAAGAAAATACTCCTAGGGAAAGAGTTTTGTATCCAACTCTGCTGGTTTTTGAAGTGTGATTAGTTACTACGAAGTTGATCCAGGCCAATTTGAGAAAACTTATTTGACCAGCCTAACGAGTTAAGACTTGAGAATGCCATTTTAATCTAGGCCCTTGTAAGCACATGGCATTCGTAACTGTTGGATTGATTACCCGGTGGTGAACTATGCAGTTTTTTTAAACCAATTGAAGAAGAGAGGATTGGAGTTTATATTCCTGTAACTGTGAAAACCTAGTCATCAAATTTTCATTCATTCCTGTTTAGGTTGCGTTTGGTTTCTGAGAAAACTATTGAAATTGGGAAAATTGTGGTTATGAAATGCCTTTGGGACTTCTCCACAACTTTCCCAATTTCAATACCTTAATTTTGACTGTTTTCTGTTGTCCTTGTCCCAAAGCCTGTTTGGAGTTTTTTTGTTTTTGGGCAAAAGCCTGTTTAGAGTTTGTGGTCAGGGAAAAGGAGAATCTGCTTTTACTAACGAGGTGAAACCCAAACAGGTTATGTGATGTGTTGCTAGCTCAGTTGGTAGGTTCTTGAGTTAGTTGTAGCTGAGACGGGGGATCAAATTCCATTGTCATCAGGGTTGATAGGATTAAGTTTGAGTCGAGTTTTGAGCTCCAAACTTTGATCCGAGTGGAGCTCGAATAGCCTAATACTCAATTCGACTTGGCTCGATTACACCCTTAGTTATGGGTTTGAGAGATGGGCTATTCCTGATGTGTATGTAGTCTTAGAGGTGACAATTGGGTGGGTTTGGGTTTGGGTTGTGTTTAAACCCAATCCATTAATCACTCATAAAGCCATTTAAATAAAACTAAATGGGTTGGGTTTAAACCAAACCCATCTGAACCTGAACCCAATCCAACATTCCAACTCACCCAATTTATTAATCTTTTAACTAATTAATGAGATAATATAACATGAATTGCAAAAGAAAAAAAAAAAGAAAAGCCAAAAAATAATATAATAAAAATTAGAAAATATAGAAAAATGTTAGAATTCACAAAAAACATAAAAAATCAGAAAATAAAAACTAACAGAAATCAAGGTTCTAAATATTGATATGCTCGATACATCGGTAGGGGTGTATTGGTACTTTATTTTTTACTTTTTTTTTCAAATCTGGTTCAGGGGGACCGGTTTAAGGTTCTTCCACCCCCTGAACCAGTCAAAACCCTGATACACCCTCTATAGGGGTGTATTGGGGTGCTCTTGATATGATATGTATAAAAAGTAATAGAAAAAACACACAAAATGAAGAAAAATAACAAAAATACATAAACAAAGAAAAACAAAATTTGTAAAATATAAAAATTAAAGAAGTAAAACAATGATCAATATTTATTTCAAAGCGCAACTGAGACACAATATCACAAAATGAACATGAAGTTGGAATCTGGTATTAGGCTATTCGGGCCTTTGCAAAAGTATAAAGGCTTCATGGGCTACACAAACATTGTAGCCATAGCCCATAGCCCTCCAACCTTGGTGACGATGGGATTTGATCTCAAGTCTGCTACAACCAGTCGGAAGCCTTATCAATTGAGCCAGTAGGAACTGTCCAGCGGCTCCCATTTGTGTGAATCTATTGACCATTGTGTGCCACTGTTTGGAGATAACAGGATTCTGAACAAGCAAAAACTCTATACACACTCTGAAAGCTTAAGAGTTCAACTGCATATTGTAAATCATGGTTTTTGAATCATCGTTGATTTGGACGGTCAGACCATTTGGCCTGGGAACTGTTCAGGCAACCGGTTCCATTTTATCCTAAACCCGGTCCCTGGTCAAAAACTGTTGAATCAGTCAATGACCCGTTGACCTGGACAGTTGACCTATCGACCTGTTTAATGGTTTTGACCATATTTTTATTTTTAATTTTTTTTTAGTTTGTCAAAATGAACCGTTCATTTGAATCGGACAGTTGAACCGTTGACCCAAAAACCAGTAGCCAGAACGATTCCATTTCTGAATCAATTTTTAAAACCATACTGTAAACATCTCTTCATGATGAATTTAACATGAATGTACAGAAGATAATTCAACAGGATTCTATGTTCAGAACATCCATTCTTGACTCGACAACGAGCAAGTACCAAGCAGTTCCGGGTTTGGGTTGACATATTTCAATCCGAAGTCTAAAACACATGTGGGCCATTCATTATTGTTCTGCTAACTTTGACGAAAGAATCTCAATCTACACCTTCTCACCCTGAAGGGGATGTGTCGGATTGAAGAACTTTTACAACCCGACCCAAACGCTACCTTTTGGCATAAGCTGATCTTGGCTTTCTTAAGATTGTCAATGTAAATTTGTAGGACAATCCATTGACTCGGGAATGTTAAACAAAAGATTGTCAATATCATTATCATGTGGGCAATCCAATTCCCACGGTACTTGGAGATTGGAGATGGAGTTTGATCAATTTCAGGTCAGATTGTGAGAAGATTTGCAGCTTCTCCAAGTATAGTCATGTGATCATGTGTTTTTCCAAGTTTCCAAGCCTTATATCAAGGCCCCTTTGGAGGAAGAACCTCACTCAACACCCTACATATTCCAAGTTTTAAAAGAAAACTAAGAGTTTTGAGTTTTATTGCTGAAAGAGAAATGAAAAATAAAAAGGAACCAAAGGATTAAAAGGAAAGTGGGTAGGTTAATGATAACAAATCACGATTTTAATATTGCAATTATAATTTAAGTGTGTAATTTGAAGTAAACTAGGGTTCAATCTGTTTAGTTGGATCCAAATTGAGCTATTTTTAGTTACCCATGAAATTTACTAATTTATTATCAATTAAGTCTTTGAAAGTATTTCCTCTTTTATTTTTCCTTAGTATATTTTGTTGTCTACACGAGTAACTCTTCAGTCTTCCACTTATACTAATATTTTTTGTATTTTTTATTTCTTTTTTGTGTGTGATAGAGCTTTCTCATGTGTATAAATCATGTTTATCGAAAAAAAAAAAGTTCAAGTAAAGAACATTATAACACCTTTCCCAGTCAATCATCAAACAGTGCATGAGATAGACCTAATTAGAAGAAAGTTAATAGAGAAAGAATGCAAGCAAACAAGAGAAGCTGGACATTATTATTTTGACTTCACCCAGAAACAACATACAGACCCTCTAGCTACCTGAATCTCTGATTCAGCTTTTTGAATTTAGAATGACATAAAAATAGTCAATGCTGCATCCATACGAGGTCCTGTAGCTGAGGGGTAGGAATATTGTATGAGAGGTTGAATTGACACACGATTATTATTATTATTATTATTATTATCAACGTTTTAAAAACCGATCCAAAGCTTGAACCATTTATATTATAGCACCTAGAAGTTTTCAATACACATTAGTGTGCAACATATAACCTAGTTATTGGGTCAAATGGGTCAACGGTCCAACCACTTGGGTCAGATGGTTTTTAATTTGATGAGGGGTAATTTGGTTCTCTAAATTACATCATGACACGTGACTTCCAAGTGACACTTCGGTATTGAATAAGCTTATCACCTTGGCAAGTCGGAGCAACCTTAGGGACCGGCCGAGCCAAGAAAGGTACTATCGGCAGCCTACAAAGCATGCTCGCTGACTTATCACATAGATCTATTACCAAACCGAGTCCTCGAGAGTATTAATGAGTCAACCATTAGGCCGGCCTATCCGCATCACGTGCATCAGAATCAATCGGACGGATCTTATCCCTCTGTGCAGATTACATAACCGACACCATTATTCTCTCCCAACTTAACGAAAATGGCTCTACAAGAGTTTGGGACCCGTTATAGAATGTCTCTAATCACTCATACCTATATAAAGTCACCATTTCTCTCAGAGAAGGTGCACGTGGTTAAACTCTTGCACTCTCTAAACTTCTAAGTCTCTCAAAAACTCTTTGCTAACTTAAGCATCAGAGTGCCCACCCCGTGTAAAAATAGTCCGAGCACTCTAACTCTCTCTCTTGTAGAACCATCTAGCTCGGACAGACCTAGCTTGGCCAAACTTAGCTTGGCCACCAACAAAAGCAACTTCTAGCTCAGCGTCCAAGTCACTTGCCAAGTGAGAGCCATTAGATCACACATCATCATAACCAATTCTAGATATTAGTATAACCAGACTCAAAATTTTGGTAAGGTGATGATTTGAATGATTCAACCGGCTAAGTCAATGACATATTGAAAATACTTATTATTATTATTGTTGTTATTGTTATTATTGCTAATAATAATAATAATAATAATAATAATAATAATAATAATTGATGGAGGGTGATTTGACCCGACCTCCTGAGCAGGCGACACGTGGACTTGATTCGACATAAGTGACAGCACAGCGTGACAGCCTGGCTACTCGGTGCAGCGAGCTCACTAAAGCCCTCGCGGGCCAGCTCGCTACATGACAACTCGCTATGGAACAAGCTTGCTACGGCATGAGCTCAAACACGTCGGTATGACAAAGGGGACACTCCAAGCTAAGTCTATCCCGGCTCGCGAGCTAGGACAATCAGCTCGCTCCAATCCTTAGGCAAAAGGGTTGTCTCAAAGACCTGACGGAATCACCTCGGGACGCCTCCAGTAGCTCGCTACAAGGCAAGTCGCTATTAAGCAACGCGGTGTTTTCATGAAGCTTCTTATCTGGCAAGACCGTACCCGCCAGACTGCACCCACGTCTCCTGACTGACGGCGCAGTCTCTGCCAGCACCAGTAGTTTGCGCCCACGTCTCTTGACAGGTGGCAGCGTACCTGTCCTTTCCGGGTCGTGCCTTTCACTTGATTGGGCAGTACCTTGCAACGGTTATCTGCGCAGCCCTGGTGAATAACGACTACGACAGAGGGCCAGAGACAGTTACGTCTGATTTAACAGGGCATCAGTATTAAAAGGACCCCAATCCCCAAGGAGAAAGGGTACTGAACTTGCGCCATTTGTACTCTTAGTTCTCTCTTTACATTCAACTCGCTATGGGATAGTTCGTTGCAAGGCAGCTCGCTATTAAGCGACGCGGCGTTTTTAGGAAGCTTCTTATCTGGCAAGACCGTACCCGCCAGACTGCACCCACGTCTCTTGACTGATGGCGCAGTCTCTACCAGCACCAGCGGTCTGTGCCCACGTCTCTCGACAGGTGGCGGCGTGCCTGTCCTTTTCGGGCCGTGCCTTTCACTTGATTAGGCAATACCCTGCAATGGTTACCTGTGCAGCCCTGGCGAATAACGGCTGCGACAGAGGACCAGAGACGGTTACGTCCGATTTGGCAGGGCATCAATATTAAAAGGACCCCGGTCCCCAAGGAGAAAGGGTATTGAACTTGCGCCATCTGCACTCTTAGCTCTCTCTTTACATTCTCTACAGTTCTCTCAGAACACTAACTTAAGCATTGGAGTGTTCCTACCGGGCGAGCTCCCTGGGAATTCTTTACTTTCCTCTTCATCTCAAGTACCGTCCGTTGCCAGCTGGGAGCCAGGTTCCCGCCAGGTAGGAGTGGCCAGATCGCACTGCATCAATAATAATAATAATAATAATAATAATAATAATAATAATTAGGGAAGGTGGTACCGGGATCCGGATGGGTGGGCACTCATCCTTGAAGGTAGTGTAGTGCACCGAGGGTTGGCCCTAAACCCGAAACCCAACCCTAGATCCAAGTTGCACATGCTCCATATTTATACGCGCCTTATTTTCAGCTCCCTTCACACGGCATGTCTCCCCGAAGCAAAAGGTCGGTGCAAACCCGAAATAAAGTACTGCCGCCCATGTCTCTAACATCTAACAAATTACGTGTATTGTATATAAGTGAAGTGAGGCCTTAGCTTCTCTTCATACACCATTTTTACAATTTTCATTACATACCCAGCAGCTTTCTCAATAGTCAATACCAAAACAATGACGGTGAGTCTCTCTCTCTCTCTCTCATCAGAGCCGGCCGGCCTTAGGTTCTCTGCTCCACCACAGAATTACCACTGTTTCTTTTCAAACTGAAAACATGAAATAAAAGAAGCTAATTAAGCAACTGGTTTTGATGTTCAGATCACAGAGATGAGAGTGCACATGGACTGCGCTGGATGTGAGTGCAAGATCAGAAAGGCTCTGAAGAAGCTGAAAGGAGTGGATGATGTGGACATAGACATGGGCATGCAGAAGGTGACTGTAACTGGATGGGCGGACCAGAAGAAGGTCCTCAAGACAGTCAGGAAGACGGGAAGAAGGGCTGAGCTCTGGCCCTTCCCATACAACCCAGAGCTCCGAGGTTCCACCAATCTGCATTATAACCAGAACTATTACCAGAGCCGTGCTTCTTGCTATGCTTCTCACCAACCTTCATCCTCTTACAACTACTACAAGCATGGGTATGCTGGTCATCATCGTGGCTACTATCAACCTCCTGCACATTCCACCATCTTTGGTGAAAGATTTGGTGCCAATTTCAGTGATGAAAACCCTACTGGTGCTTGTTCTATAATGTGACGATGTTATATATCGCACTTTCAACAATTAATAATTAATTAATCCATCCTTTTCTGCTGATATGCACTACTTCAAGAATCTATATGTGCTATAGCTTCTCTTTTATCACCTCTTGTTTTAATTTCCTTCCTTTTATATATGTGGATGTGGATTCATCATTCTATCTATAAGGAGTTCTGATCTTTTTGTTTTACAGCTCTTCTTCTTTCCTATATATGTCTACAAAAACTTGTATCCAAAGTAATATGAATCTTGGGTCTTGTATGTTTTGATCAGTAGGACTCATGTATATATATATCTGCCTAAAGAAAATCTATATACTGTATAACTTAGTTTTCCCATTTTTGTTATCTTCATGAGGAATTTGAATATATTCATTTATTTTTTTTTGCATTCCTTACTGTTATTTAATCATATATGATTTTTTGATATTTATTTTCTAATAGCAATTACAAAATCATATCTGTAGGGTAAATTACAAATACCCTTCTGTACTATGGGATCAATGACAATTACCTCCTTGAACTTTCACTTTGCTGTAACACTCCCGGCTAAAATGTGTTAAATTACCAAAATACCCACATGAGCTTTCCTTATTTCCTTTTCCTTGCCCTTTTCTCTTAGACCTTAATTGACTGAAAAAAACCTCCATTTTCTCCAAATGAAATCAACTAAAATAATAATAATCATTTCACTAACAGAGAAAAAGAAGTTTCTTTAAATTCTTGTTTTATTTCACTAACACGAATGTCTCTCTTCATTTTAAAGTATAAAAATTATCCACTTCTTTCTCCAATAAATTAAGAAAACCAAATATGAAACTTTAAATTGATATCTATTAGAAAGAAACCTCTACCATTTCATTTGAATATTGAATCCAGTCAGAAATATGTAAGGAACTATTAGAGCAACCAAGAGGACTTCAATATATTATATCTAGAAAACTAACCGGATCAAAAAGTGTTCAAATAAATGAGAAAAGGACAGCTTGGGGATTTAAAAATTTTTGAATAGCTGAAGGAGAATCTTTTTCTAAGTTAATTATGGAATCTAATGGAGGGGAGTATTTGTTGCAAAATGAAAGATTCAAACTCAATGTGTATGGTTGGATCTATTTGACCTAGGCATTGTTCTTTTTCTTGAAAATGGAATCAATTTCAATATGGAAATGTTGACTAAGATTTGTGAGTCCAAACGCAGTTTTTTTTTTTTTTTTTGTATAAAGTTCAAATTCAGTTCAAAATAGAAAATAATTAAATTGCATTCCATTTAGGTTGTGTTCGGTTTGAAGGAAAAGGAAGGAAAATGTAAAAAAACCAAACAGCCTTAGGTGAGATCCAAACCTGATTAGTAAGAGATTCTGGTTCAAGCCCAACAAAAAAAGGGAAGAGTAAACCAAACAAGAACCCATTGATCTACTGATCATTGGGCAGCCATGGCTATCGCTGTACAAGAACCCATTTCCTGCAGGCCCAACTGACTATCTAGCGTTCTCCACTCAATTCAAGGGTGCTCATGGACCGATTACTCAAACCGTGAGTGCCAGCTGGTTGGTTAACCGATGCTATCGTTTTTGAAAGATATTAAATCAAAACTGAATCAAACCAGTTCAGTTAACCCGCTTTTTTTACCTGGAAGTAATCATAGTACCAAGCAAAAAGTACTGATACAAATCCTTGGAAAGAACAAAGTATAGACTGTGGATAAAGAAAAACAAAAAAAGAATTTTTGCAACAGAAATAAGGTGAGGCAGAATCACCAATAGAAAAAACAATTGAGTGCATCTCCAACCACCGAAAGTGAGAGATAAAGACACTAGCGACTCGCACCAAGAAATTGGAGACACCTGGAACTATAACTGCTAGAACTGTAACCATCGAAACTGTAACTGCCAGAACTGTAACCGTCGGAATTATAATCATCTGAAACTGTAACCGTCGGTGAAATACACTTCGGAAAACAGCCACTGATAGTAAAAGCCAAATAAGTGATGAAGGCAACCGCCCAACACCAAAATTTTCAAGGAAAAGTCAGCCTCTTGTATCAAAATCCCTACATAAAAGAACAAAAACAAAAAAGCAAAAGATAAAGGAGAAGAATGAATGAGAGGAAAGACCGAAAAGTGGAATAAGAAAATCAAGGAGAGAGAGGAGTGAAGGAAAGGGAGAAGGGGAGAATAACGGAGAAGAGAGGGGGAGATGGAGAAGAATACTATAAATACTATAACCCGTTGATCAATTTGGTTTTTTTTTATTTTAATAACCTATATAATATAAATACTATAAATACATAATATATTACTTAATTTGTGTCTTGAGCAGAATTATCACTTTTTCCTGTTCTACAAATCTTTTATAGCTGAACTGTAGGAGTTCACATCTCCTCCTCACAACGTCCCACAGCACATCCCCGCCATGTATTGGGAACATCTCCCGATGATGTGCTGTGGGACATTGTGGGGCGGAGATTTGAACTGGAACTGAAGGGAGCAACCCAATTAACCAAACCGATTAATTCAGTATTTTTGTTTTCAATAAATACCAAAATATATTAATTAACCAAATTCTCATTTATTTACTATGATATAAAAAAAAAAACATGATATAGAAAAAACTCTTAACCAATCAATCAATATTATAAAAGCGGTAATTAATATATATCAAAAAAAGCAGTGGAATCTACTTCTGCTGGCCGGAATCAATTAATGGGGAAGAAATACCAATTGCATTGGTCCATGATAAAAGAATTGGTTAGTCTTGCAATCTAGACCAGACTTGGAAAAGGGATAAGATTAATCCCCAATATTATATAACCTTTGATGTTTTCAATGATAAAACATATAAGATTAATCCCCAAAACTTGGAAAAAGGAATTCAGTGAACGTTAAACAGCACCTTTACTTAATCAGTTTTCTTAGCTTTAAATCTTGGTTATCATTCAATAAAGTATGTAATTTTAAAATAATACAATTTATTAAATGCTACTTTCATTGTCACATGGATTATAATTGAGCTACTACTACTACTAAAATAATAAAGTAATATTTGTTAAAACTGACTTGGAACCCAAACTAATTTAGCTATTGATTTCTGGGTTAGTGGTTCGATTATCTAGTTCGAATGGATCAGATTGACAATTTTAATGAATAAAAATAATTAAATAAAAAATTGCCCAAAACTGTTGTCGGGGTCAAACAAATTGATAGTTCAATCATTCGGGTCAGCAGATTATTGATTAATTCAAAGGTTTTTGACAAAAAATGATTAGGAGTTAAAATGGAACCAGTCTCCTGACCAATTTCTAGGTTGAATGATTTAATCATCCGGGTAGTTCAAAAACCATGTAAAAAAAGTGTCTAAAAAAACATTTTTGAAATAAAAAAGTGAATTATTCATGAACGAGTATTTATTTATCCATGGTAATGCCTAATTCAGATCTCCTACCCACATGATACTATAGTTTTACATTGGAAATATCTCTTCATGAATGGTAATATGCAAATACCATATACATGAGGCGTGAGTAGGAGATCCGAATTGGGTAATACATGTTTTAATTTCCATCATAGAGGTATTATCTGAACTCAGATGAGAGATGTGTGACTGTATGACGGGTAGAGAATGAGTACGAAAAGTGAATAAGAAATCTCCTTTGTATCTGAGCATAGAAGTGGCCCATTCACATTAAAATGGTTTTCGCAATTTGAACGATTTTTTGGATCCAGGGTTCGAAATTCTGATGATTTATGAAATTGTGATCATACGGAGAAAGCATATTTTGTTCTTTAACTTGAACCAATTCTCTCTTTTTTCTCAATCAGGTCCCACGTAGTAAGTCCGTAAAATATTAAAACAGACATAGTGGGACCAACAAAATAATGGAAACTGATTTTCGGATTCAAAAAGCTCCAAATTCTCAATGCCTTAACCAAGAGAATTAATTTCAAAAAACAAACTTCAGCAATCAGGGTTTTGAAGAGAGGATTCTGATTGATTCCGATTTCTGAAAAGACAGCAATGGATATTCAGGAACAATTGAAGATTCCTTCTTAGAAGCCTATCTGAAATGAGTCAGCTCGCACTTCCAGCCTAAAACTGATCTCATTTCAGAAGAATAACGATTAGGAATCAGGCTGGTCAATGATTCCATTAAGGGGCCATTTGGTTTGTTAGGGTCTTGATCTTTGGAATAGGAATGGGCTATTAGATTTTAATTGTTTGGTTGGGTCAGAAGAATTTAAATCCATTTTTATTTCTGGTGGAATGACATCCCCCATTTGAGAGAATTGTCATTCTCCCCCTTCCCTTGAGAATGATATCTCATTTCGGTTGATTTCAATTTTTATTCTAATTACTAAATCAAACAGATTATAGGAATAGACCATTCTAAATTTCTGATTGGGATTATGAAAAATCCCATTTATATTCCAATTTTGAATGTAAACCAAATGGATCCTCAAATTTATTTTATTTTCCCCTAACATGTTAATCCTGGGCTGGCTGAAAATAGATACACAAACACAATTTGTACAAGTGATCCCAACCGAGTCGCCATCATGTAATTAAACTGCCTAAAAACGGCAACACCCACCACCTCTGTGTTGAAACGGTCCATTGCCCACTGTCTTGCACCCTTTGGGCTCCACCGGCCCACGCCCATTTGCCTTCTTTAAGCTTTCCTTGCAGACCCCAACAGACAGATGTCTGTTAAGAAGCAAGCAAAAAGCAAAAAGCGAAAGGCTGGTGGGAATCAAAATAAAGTATTCCCTCTTCTCTCTCCTACCAAGTAAAGCTACTTTTCCCTGTTCTCCACACCCTTTATAAATATGAGAAGCTCCACTGCTTTTCTATTACACCATTTCTCTCTTCCATTTCGAGCCTGCTGCAACTTACATACCTTAGCAGACAGAGATTTCCAGCTATCTTTCTCAACACCCAAATGACGGTTGCTCTCTCTCTCTCCCTGCATCTCTCTTTTCTCTCTCCCTGCATGCCTGCTTCTGTGTGTTTGTGTCAAAGAAAAAAAAAACAGACTTCTATTTCTCTTTGATAGCTGCATGCATACATGAAACTTGTGATTTGTGTGTTACAGTACAACTTCATTCCATAGATCATATAACCTTCAGTGGGTAGAAATAGGCAACATCAAGCAACAAAGTTTGCTGTTGTTGAAGGTCAAAGGGTGATTGGTGCTAGCTGTTGCAGTGCTTTATTACCATGCTGTTCTGTTGTTTTAAAGCTGAAAGGATACATTTCTTGGTTTGGGGGTGTCTTTTTTTTAGCATTTCTCTAGGTTTTGAACATACCCATATCATGGCCATACATGAATCACACCGACTCCTATTGTTTTGGGTTTTCCAGATTGTCGAGATGAGAGTCTACATGGACTGTGCTGGATGTGAGAGCAAGATCAAGAAGGCTCTTCAAAAACTACAAGGTATATATATATAGATAGATAGATAAATATAGTGATGCCTTCCTTTAAACATGAGAGTGTCTTTAAATTTGATGGCATGGTTATGATGAATCAGGAGTGGATGAAATCGACATAGACATGGAAATGCAGAAGGTGACTGTGACTGGGTGGGCAGAGCAGAGGAAAGTACTCAAGGCAGTGAGGAAGACCGGGAAGAGGGCAGAGCTGTGGCCCTACCCTTACAACCCGGAGTACCACGACTACACCCATCGCTACAACTACTACAATCAACAGCATTTTCAGAGCCATCCATACACATACTATGCCACCACCCAACCTGCTTCTTCTTCTTCTTCTTCTTCTTATAACTATCGGAAGCATGGGTATGATGGCCATGACCATGGCTACTATCAACCACCTCCTTATTCTACCATCTTCGATGAAAGGACTGGAGCTGTGTTCAGTGATGACAACCCTAATGCTTGTTCTATCATGTGATCATCATGCATTAAAATGATATAAATATTAATTAATTATAACGTGTTGTTTCTTTTGTTTGATTCGTATAATCGTATTTGTATCTCTATGTCTTACGGGTGCTGTCAAACGTAGGAGTGGTGTTTGACCCGACCCGACCCGACCCGGAAGTTCTGTCTATTTGGGAAATGGGAAATTATGTAATTCTTTTTTTTTTTTTTATGGTAAGGGAAATTATGTAATTTCGCCCTATATGTATATTTTTGCTTTTACATGATCATATTTTATCCGAGTCTACCTGATCAATCAATGGGCCTACTCCCCACTCCGCAACAGCCAGAGGACGATTAGTGAATCTAATTAGTAGTGTTGGGATCTAGTCCATGGTCCCAACAAATGTCCGAACAAATTGGGAACATCTCACTTGTCCTTGATGGCGAGATATACATAATGTACGGCTGCAATAATTTATTGGGACGTTATTGATATCGTGTGTTGGAACTAGATCTGGACTCCAATTGGTATGATTCCATGTCTCTGCCAACCAAGATCCCTTCCAAGTTCCAACAGTTAAATACATTCCAACATGACCTGTATCCACACATCATGAGGCCCATCGCAAATGGAATGCTTTGGTAAGGATTTTTATTGGTATACCATTACTCATGCTGAGTTAGAATATGCCCTACAGCACATTTCAATGTGCATTAGGTATTTGTAATGGCGAGATGTTCTGGTTGGGATGCGGACTGGGGTGACTCTGTGGGGGGAGTCAATGCAAATTTAATGATATTTTGTTTGTCTGTTAAATTTTAAAAGGAGTCCGGATCAATTCCCAAATCAGGTCAGTCTTCTTCCCAAACAAAATTTGAACAGGATCTCCAAAAACTCAACCACCCTAACCACCTACACCCCTAAAAGAGGTCATCCCAAAACAGGTAGGGATGCAAATGGATCGGATTGGATTCGAATTAGGGTATATTCGAATCCGATCTGACACTGTTTATGTTGGATTCAATTCGATCGGATCTGATTGGACTCGATTTGAATTTAAATCCTATCTGATCCGATCCAACTTGTTTTCTTTAAAAATTAATAAATTATTCAAAGAAAAATAAAATATACTAATTTAAATAAAGTAAAATAAAAAATACAAATATTTTTAAATTATTTTTTTCGTATATATATATATATCTTTTTTATAAAAAAATAAATAATATAATAAATTTATAAAAAATATATAATTATAAATAAATAAATAGCACATATATATATATTATATTTATATTTATAACACATAAATATATATCAGATCGAATAGGGGTAATCTGAATCCCCTCCGAAGATCCGAACAAAAGTGATTCAAATTTGATAAAATCGAACCTCGGATCGAAGATCCATTTGCACCCCTAAAAACATAGCCACCTACACTGGTGGCCAAACCACTTACACATTTCATTTTAATTTTTTTTGAACATGGTCCGGCTTTACTTGAAACCCACTTAACAGATCGCTAAAACCCTAATCCACTTTGATTTTGTAGAATTGGCTTGGCTCCACACATAACACATCCTACATGCGCCCCACTGTAACAAGTGTTCTCTTCGACGTGCCATCAAGTGCCATCCACTGTGCCTACAACCGCAACTCCAACGTCCAAGTGTGTGCCATGGGTGGGTTAAGCATGTACTTTTGTATGGGGGACTGCATGGCAATATTGTAATATTGTAGTATGCTTTTTCGTCTTTTTGACGTTTCTTATTGTCACTCCCCCAAAAGCTTAATGTACTCTTTGAGGGGAGGTAGGTAGTCGAGCGAGCTCATAAGTGTGTAAAGGTTAAGCACGAGATCCCCTCGATACTGTACTGTGTGCTTGTGCTTACCACTGATTAATGCAATACAAATAGCCTTTTGCTAATTCGTGTGCCTTCTTGTTGCCTTGGTGTGTGTGTTTGTTTTGTTTCATAGGCTTATTCACCCATTTCGAGTGCCGCACGGGGCCCCAACGATTACCCCCGTGACACCACAGCATGTCCCAAGTATGCTTTGGTAATATCTCATTATCTCCCACAAGCACGAGAGATGTTCCCAATGCACTCTCAGTCTCAGCTGTGGGGCACATATGGGGTACGCTTTGCGGGGAGCCGATCCAAACTCGATTTTATACGGCTTTATTCGTAAGTCACTCTCACAGGCGTGAAAGAGATACAGTCAAACTTTCCAAAAGTTTTCAAATCACCAAAGATTCTCCTAATTAAGATTTACCTCTTGTTTATTTGCAAATTGAAAGAAATTGATATTTGATCATCATTTATATCAAAAAGATAATAAAGTTACAGACAAAGACAAATAGTAGCAAAAATGTTGTGAAGAAAACCTTCTCATCACCTTTTTCTTTTCCTTGAGTTTCATTTTCTTTTGCTCACCCAACATTCAAGACTTGCACACATCTTGTTTTGAGCATTTCTCCAATGTAAAAGATGATTATGTGGTCCATACAGTATCTGAATCCCTTTGTGTCATAATACCTGCTTTATGTTTTATTAACCTTGCAACTAAGACTCAAAACTTATATAATCCAAAATTAAAGGGGGTGTTCTATTTTTGGATTTTGAGAGGAGAAAAGTTGGTTAATAGGATTTTGTTTCACATTAACCAAGAATAATATGTTCATTTTTCAGATTTATGTAGGGATCAAGGAATGGATATTACTTATACCCATCTCCTAGGTGGGTAAATAACTTTTCCACCTAGGGAAAAAGTTGCTAACACTTGAATGGGACAAAAATGTCCCTTTTAATAATGAGTTTTTATAGCTACAATGGCCATTATCTTATTTACTTGGAAATAAAAGAACATGGGTAAATACACTTACCCGGATAAGTATTTTCTAAAAAATACTTATTCAAATAATTGCATTTACCCGATTAAATAACTTACCGAAAAGCGAATGGGACCACAATATCATTAAGAGAAGCACAATAAACCTACTGCTCTCACACTATTGTCGGTAGTTCTCGCATCACAGATCACTTAATTTATAACAGTTTGCCATTTAACATGGTAAGGTAATTTGATGAACTCTCTACATCTCATTCCCCGTATATATATAGTAGTGTTATACATACCCATATATATATGATTAGACTGTATAATATAATATGTAGAACTTTTCTTTTGCTGAAAATGAGTTGATTGTGAGCATACCAAATGAAATATAGAGCTATGGACATCCGCTGGATAATATGCCCTTGAATATTCTTATCAGGGATTGATTCCAGAAACTCTAATATTTCATTCAACATATTATTATCGTCTATAATATGAATTCTTAAGCTTGATGGGGAACCAAACCACACTTTTGCAAATGGATAATTTCTTGTTTGCTTTTCAGAAAGTTATTTATTTAGGTAAATGTATATTTATCCAGGTAATTGCATTTACCCATATTATTGTATTTCTCAAATAAATAAGACAATGACCATTTTAGTCATAAAAAAGACATTATTAAAAGGAGTAATTTTGTCTCATCCAAGTGTTGGCAATTTTCTCCATGTGAGAAAGTTACCATTTTAGTCATAAAAAAGACATTATTAAAAAGAGTAATTTTGTCTCATCCAAGTGTTGGCAATTTTTCCCATGTGAGAAAGTTACTTATCCACCTGTGGGATGAGTATCATTTACATATGGAAAATAAATTTTCTATGAATCACACATAAATCTGAAAAAAGATAATAGATATATTGGTCAATGGAATGAGCTTTTAAAGAAGAGATACCCATAGATGTCTATGCCATAGAAATCACATTTTTCTTCCATATATTATTTAGTCCTGCAAAAATATTTGATTTAGTCCAAACAAATTTCCTATCACATATTTCTTTCTAGTATCATAGTCAAATGACTGAAACCCTAGATTTTAATACGCATTTTCAGTTGTTTTCTAAGCATTATTTTTTTGGCATTTGGATGGACGTTTTTGCTAAATATAAGGACATACTTTTGTAAGGGTGTTTGGTTCCGTTTATATTTATTCAGTAAACATTTATTGATGGTGCCACATAGGTACCATCTCAGTATTTTCTCTCTCTTTCTCTTCTTTCATGCATTGAAAAAGAAAAAAGTGAACTTTGGTTTTCGTGTATGTTAACCGTTTGTGGAAATTATTTTTTAAAGGTTCCGCAAACTGTCAGGCGTTTATTCACTGTTATGTTGATGTACTGCCTAGTTGTCATAAACGATTACAATTATTACATTTCTCGATTTTACCAACAAATAAAGTACAAACATTTATTCTAACTGAAACCAAACACATACGTAAATTAACCATCTACACGCTCAGAAATGAGTTGAAATTGCTATTAAACATCCTCCTCGAAGATGGGAAGGTTAATTCATGCATGGAGATGGCGTGGAGAGATGTAATTGATCATACAGCCCACACAATAGCCTCTCTATTCCTACTCATCCGATCTCCTAATGCCCAAGACTGGTCTTCTTGGTTCAACCCCAAAAGTACAGATGAAATATTGATTAGTTGGAAGCTACCAACGGCCACAGTTCATTTAATAACCACCAATCCTGCGGTTATGCTCCTCATACAGTTGAAGCCGCAGATCTGGAACATCTCCATTATTTGTAAGTTGCCATTGATGGGAGATGTATTCAATGCATGGTTGTACCGTGCTGTGAAATTGGTATGAGACACGCTCGCAAATCCAAGATTTCAATAACCACCAATCTTTAATTCTTTCATTTTCTTTTTCCAAATGTGTCATACATAAAAGGATGACCAATCAGGAAAATCCCTTTAAATTTTGAAGTTTGTGAGAAAACTGACTGGAAGATTTTTGTTTCTATTTGGTAATCAGTTTTAGAGGAAGGCTGAAATTGAAATAAACAGGAACCTCATTTTCGATTCGATCACTAGTTTTTATTTTATGAGTTCTGATTTCCTCTTCACAAAATCGGTCCTCACACTCACTTCACAGTCTTTGCAGCCCTGTACACCGGGAATATCTTCATAGTTAAATGTTTATATTAATGAAGGAGATGTTTCGAATGTGAGGGTGTGAGTAAAAAATCTGAATTCTATTTTATTGATTTTTTAAGATGAAAATGCGTTTTGATCTATTGTTTTCAGGGACATCGATTGCAAGCAGAAAATAGGTTTCATTTGCCCATCCTTCTGCTTGCACCCGCACGCTGCACCTTTGAATTAAACTTGGGTTTGGAATATTTATATATATTAATAAGATATGGGTGCTCTCTCCGTGCAGGAAACGAGTAGATTCCCAAGTGAGAATAACCCAATAATTTAATTACTGATTATTACTGTTATTGTTAATAAATTACTGATTATTACTGTTATTATAAATTATTATAATTTAATTATATATATTAATAGGATATGGATGCTCTCCCCATGGAAATAGAATCTACTCGTGGGAGTAGATGTCCACGTGAGAACAACCCAGTAATTACTGATTATTAAAGTAATTACTGCAGTAATTATTGATTATTACAGTAATTAATTACTGTAATTTAATAATTACTGATTATTATTGTTATTGTTAATAAATTACTGATTATTATAAATTACTATAATTTAATAATTACCGATTATTACAATAATTTAATAAATATATAATTAGTGATTATAATTAATAATTACTGTTGATGAAGGGTGATTTGGCTCGACCTAGTAAGGGTGGGACATGTGGATGCGACCTGCCAATAAGACGACAACTCAGCAAGGAGAGTCTCGTTAGCAGATCGAGAGCTCGGGTGATCATTCAGCTCGAAACCGAGAGCCACTTCGTTGCCCATGTACCTAGGTGACACGTGTTCGATTCTAGACACTTCCCAACGGACTCCGGATCCCTCGGGATCACATCGCGAAACCGAAGGCCTTATCCTTATCCTGCCCAGATCAGAAGATAGTGATAGACTTCATTGGCTAGTGCGTTACCTCCCTTCTGGAGCAAACGGATCCTAACCAAGCGAGTTGAGGATCCTAGAGTTATTTCGTGAGTTCTTATTTCGTGAGTTCCACTACAGCCCAGCTATATAAGGACTTCAAACCCCAAGATCAAGGTATGCGCGATTATTTGCTCACTAGCACACTTATCATTTGACTTTCAGCTCGCAATACTAATTTAAGCATCAAAGCGACCTTGCCGGGTTAGCCACCCCGGGTTCTCTGAGCCTCATTGTTTTGTAGACCGAACCAACTCGCCACGTAGCCAAGTTCCAAACTACCTCCAGCTAGGAGCATCCAGATCGTGCTCCATCAACTATTATTATAAATATTGTTAATAAATAGATATTTACTTAATTTTACTTTAAATTAAAATTATAAATATTGTAATTACTGACTATTACTGATAAATACTATTAATTTAATTTAATTTTGGTAATTATTAATTTAATGAATATTGTTAATAAATCATATTCATAAATTTAATATTTACTATTATATTCATTAAAAATAACTAAATAATATTATTAAAACTATCATTAATGATTATTTAATTAAATAGTATAATTACTTACTATTATTGATAAATGTTGTTAATAATATTCTGACAACCGACAGTTTGACTGTTTAGTTCAAACAAACAGATGGCCCGTTCTGACAACAAAAATTACAAGCAAAAAATTACAGAACCGTTTTGGCCATCGATTTCCGGGTCGATGGTTCGATTATCCGGTTCGAACAGACAGCCCGTTCTGACAACAAAAATTGTAAGCAAAAAATTGAGTTGTGAGGTCCATTAAGTAGTATCATACGTGTTATGTCATTTGAGTTGTGACTCATACGACTCAAAAACAAAACCATTATGGCCATTGGTTTTGGGGTCAATGGTTCGACCGTTCTTTCGAACGAACGAACCGTTCTAACAACAAAAAATTATGGAACCGTAATTTTGAGTGTGTGAGGTTCGATCGTACATGTTATGCCATTTGAGCATGTGACTCATACGGCCCGAAAAAGGAACCATTTTGGCCACCAGTTTCGGGTTGATGGTTCGATCGTCTAGTTTGAACGGATGGCCCATTTTGACAACAAAAATTAAAAAAATAAAAAAACGGCCAAAAAGCATTGAACGGGTCAACGGGTTAATTGTTTGACCACTTGGGTCAATGGGTTAATCGATTCAATGATTTTTAGCCAGGGACCAGGATTGAGGTAAAACAGAACTAGTTCTTAGACGGTTCCCAATTAAAAAAATAAAAAACGGACAACCCATTTTGACAAAAAAATTACAAGCAAAAAATTGGGCGTGTGAGGTCCATTAAGCAGTACCATACGTGTTATGTCATTCGAGTGTGTCTCATATGACCTGAAAACAGAACCATTATGACCATCGGTTTTCGGGTCGACGGTTTGACTATTCGGTTCGAATAGATTGCCTGTCCTGACAACAAAAATTAAAAAAATAAAAATATAACTAAAAACCATTGAATGGGTCAATGGTTCGAACGCCTGGATCAATGGGTCGTTGATTGATTCAACAATTTCTAGTCAAGGAACGAGATTAGGATAAAACGAAACCGGTTGCCTAGATGATTCTTAATTAAAAAAAAAAGACCACAAACCATTAAATAAGTCAACATGTAACGGTTCGACCAATCGAGTCAATAAATCATTGACCAATTCAATGATTTTTTTGTCAGGAACTAGATCGACGGGTTAACGGGGCGATGGTTTCATTCTACACCCTGCGAAGCAGGCCCCTCCGCTAATGATAAATTAATTCGGTTTTGACTTCAGGTTGGGCCCGGCCTGAAACCTAAAGTTTGCACCTTGACACGGTTGGGATGTGCTGTGCGGGGCCAATGTGAACTCGACATTTGAATCTGGTCTGGATCTGCTACCCTGGGATGCTAGTCACAATACAATACAGTCGGCTGCACATACTGTTTGTTTGTCTTATTTGTTGTAACGGAAGGATATTTGGATGTGTGCGGCTGTATTATTTTGGTGGCGTATCCAGACTTCATAGATATTTTGTAATTATACGAGTTCGGATCCGGTGGGGATTTGCCACTAGCGCTCTTCACACCGACCTCACATTACATCCCACCGTCCATTGTAAACATCTCCCCGTCAATAACAACATACGGGAGATGATCTTGATGTGCGGCTGGGAGGTGATGTGAGGAGCGTTTGTTAGAGCAGATCCGGACTCGTTCGGAGCCGATCCGACTACGATAAAACAGTGCATAAGACGTTACCCGCACATCCGGTATTTCATGTCGCCATTCATGTGAGATGTTCCCGATATATAGCTGTGATGTCTTGTGAGGAGGATGCGGCCAATGTTTTGTGTTCAGAAGATCCGAATTCGAATTATGGATCTCGAATTATATACACATGTAACGACATTTTCCTTCCGTTTTTTGCGTGGACAAACACCCAAAATTTTGTCTATATTCGTAGAGCGACAATCAATCAGACAATCACGCGCCCAGTACACGTGGACCTATGATTTGCCACACGATGCACTAACGCGATCAAAGCAGTCCGACATATCTCTGTACTCCCCTTCCCCATCTTTCCGGAATCTCAATCCGAACCCCGATAGGCCTGCCGTCCGAGAGAAACAGAAATACCGGCGGCTTCTTCTTCAACCTGTTACTCGTGTGAACTTTTCTCTTCTCATTTTCTAAAAGTAGGAATAGGGCTTCGTTGCTCGTGCGCGTGATGGTGACACGGCCACGGGATCCGTGACGGAGAAGTGCAGCGGAGGAGCATTTTGACGATGATGGAAGTGATCAAGCCGTCAGGATAACCACACGGCGACAAGAATGCTGGCATAACGGAAAGCGAGAAAAAAGAGATCTCGTTGTCTTTGTTTGTACTATTCTTTGTTATTTATGGCTTCTGCGCCTTTAATCCATGCTCGTTGCAGTTATTCCCCAAGGATCAGGCTCAATAAAAATGGCGGACATGGAGGGCCGTCTTCTCATTGTTCCTCTTCCAGTTGTACCAGTTCCTCACAGGGTTTTCCCTCTAATCTCTGTAACTCCTCCTCTGGTAAATAATAAAATATTCCTTGTTCTTTATTTGTAATCTCTTCTGGTGTTGGTTGTCCCTTTCCTGTTTCTTTGTCTCTGTGCTGGATGATTTTATTGGAAAGTCGATTGAATTTGCGTTAGAGGCCGGGAGTTCATTATGTTGTTCAGGTTTTGACACTGAAAATCTTCATAATGGGAGCTTTATATGATTGTATATGTGTAGGCAGGAATTTCAGGATTGCTTGTTTACCTTGGAAATTGGAATGGCTTAGACTTAGGTTTATTCGAGAATTTATTTGACTGAACTGGTCGTGGGGTGACAGTTTACCAGTATAGTTATCGATGATTAAGGTGGATCATTGTGGTGCTTAATATAAGCATGTCACAACAACCGTGTCAAATAGATAAATTCCGTTTGTCAATATCCACCCACTTGAATACTTTGGATGATTTCTATTCTGCCAATACTGTCCAATACATACTAGATTCCTCGTAATTACAGATCAAACTCTGTATCCAAAATCACAAGTGATAAATCCAATCAGTCCATATTTGTGGATTTTAGTAAATACTGTATGTGCATGCTTCCACGGCCTTGTAAATTTGAATCTGTTTTTGTTTAAGCCTCAGTATTATTAGTTTTTTAGTCAACAGGGAAATGCGGTTCTATCTTGAAGGTGAATTGATGAAGTGTGAATGACTGTGCTGTCAAATCCATTAGCAATATTACTTTCAGTGGTTGGGGCATCCATACATTGTAAACGACTATCTTTAACCAATCAATTATTCTATTTTGTTAGGAAATATCGGGTTTCCTTATCAGGTGGAACAGATGGTTAATGGATCATACAGATCATGGATGTACTACTACATTTTCTAGTGTATTTAGCATAAAATGCTAAGAAGAAACCTTTCATATTCATCACGTGGAACATTCACCATCTCCTTCCCATATGAACTTGTAGATGTAGAAGGTGTCTGGTTAGTTTGTTGATCCTCACTTATTTCACCACCACCACTTGTCATAGCATGATTAGCCCATGTAGAGTGTGGCCCATGCAGATCATAACAAAAATTAATAGTATGCCCCTCTATTCCATAGTATGTGCACTTCCTAGGACCATTACTATGTCCTCTACCACGACCTTCCCTTGAATCTTGACCTCCACCATGTCCACCACCACGATTAAACACAGGACTACCTTGGCCTCCTTGGACTCTATGACCTCCTCCTCTATTCCCACGACCTCCCCCTCTTGCCACTGCAAAAGCAGACCTACCGGAGATAGTAGGACTCTCTAAAGATCCAATAGAAATTCTATGGAGTAGGGCAAACACCTCCTCAAGAGAGGGAAGATCAGAACCACCTAATATTTGTGCTCTGGTTGGCTCATATTCTGCTTTCAAACCCACTAGAAATCCGATCACATAAAGTTGCTCCCTTTGTTGTTGCTGAATTTTTACATCTAATGTTAAGGGATGATAAACATTAAGCTCATTTCGGATATTTCTCATATTAGCATAATACTCTTCAAGACTTTGATTTCCTTGTTGTAGATTAAAGTCTCCTAATAAAGTTGATATACCCTTGTAGTGTTGTCTTGCCTAGAATAGAGTTTCTTAGCATGGTCCCAAATCTCCTTAGCAGTATCTAAAAACATAAAGTTCACACTGATCTTAGGCTCCATACTATTCCACAACCGTATCATAATTTGTGCATCTTCTTATTCCCACTCAATATACCCTTGGGATTCAGTCAAGAGTTTTTCTTCTTTCACATGCTTCACCTTCTTTTTGGCTCTAAGGAAAACCTCCACCGACTTGGCCCATGCCACATAATTCTCACCATTCAGTTTAATAGAAGTCATTTGCACATTTAGATAAGCAGGGGAAGATCATAACATTTGATTTTGGGTCACTATTCTCTCTTATAGTTGTCATGATATAATTTTTTCTTTTGACATTAAGTCCCAACCAACAACACCACACCACACTAGGTTAACACCACAACACCACACAATCAATGATCAATTGTTGCCGAAACACCCACTATCACAGTTTCAACAACAAGCATTACATCAATCAGCCTTCTCACCAATTAAAACCATAAAAAAAACTTCTCAAACACATATCTCACTTGAATGGACCAACAAATCTTCACAAGAACATGGGTACACCAACCTCTCCATTGACAGGCCCTCTTTGAGTATCGAGTAGAGGGTTTCTAGATACCCACGAAAACCACAACTGCAGCAACCACTGGAGACATGGTTGTCTCCTACACAGAAAAACAACTAGCCATTTTGTGTTTTCTCACTGATCTTCCAACCAATTGATGAGTTCTCTTCAAAACAAGAAGCTAAAAGGCGATGGAGAAATTTGGGGTTGATTACAGGTTCTCTGATACCATGTTAACAATCCTGTTACACTGGTTCCAGCCATAGGTTTGAAGAAAAAGAGGAGCAAGAGAGAAAGTGGAGAAGAATTAATGAGAAAAAGGTCTAATCTTGAGAGTTAGGAAAATCTTCCAACTCTTAGTCAACCAGATATATTTGTATGTTTGTGACTGTTATACAAAGACTGTCCTACTTAAACTGAAATAAAAGAGACAAATAACCCTTTAATAAACCAGCCTATAATGACTAAAATATCCCTCTTCCAACTCTAACAGTTCCCTTTTACTTAATGGCCATCAGAAAGTTACTTGTGATTAGTAATGTCCTAACAACCTCCAAGTATTGCAAAGAAACGTTTAACTTTGTTGAAAAAAAGTTAATTGTCTATTGTGAAGATTTTATTAAAGTATGTAGTCCATATTAAAAAAAAAATCCTGGGTGGGAATACAACATATGAGGAAAGTAGATTCACTGCCAAGAAAAGGAGATTGTACTACAGTGATTCACCTTGAATTAATTCTTCAGTATGTGTACATCATCGACTTCTACTTTAAAGAAACAATAAATATCTATGCCATGATTATGCTTAATGAAATGAACCAATAAGGAATGTGTATTTTAAATACTGAATTCATGATAAACAAAGAATGAGCTTTGTAAATACCTTCTTAAACTTTATACTGCATTAGATCTTGGTATTTGGAATAAACCCCCAAATCATTTGCCAATTCCAGAATTTCTGAACCTCAAAGACCCAAAAAAGAGATACTTTCCATTAATGATACAAACCAGCCATTACTAAGCACCCTATAAAGGCTTAACCTATCAAGAAGACATAATGTCTCAGTAATGTAATTCCCAGCTACACTACATAAAAGGCCATTACCCAATGTTGGCTTCATCTATCTGGGGTCTTGGGAGGTGTAGACTGTGTACGATCCTAACCTTTGGCAATTTTTGCACAAAGTGGTCACCCTCAGAGTCAAATCTGCATTTTCATGTTTTCCAGCCCAACATTTTATCATTACACCAAGTAATGGCCCCTTCCCAGCTACACTGCATACCATCTGAAATACAAAATTTTATGTACTATTGTCTCTGTGCCACTTCTACCCCAAATGTCAAATTTACCTTTGAATACTTCGTGAGTGTTTTTTTTTTTTTTTGAATACTATTGTCTCCTTCAAATTTACCTTTGAATGCCCAGATTTCCAGAGAAATATTGTGCTTATGGGTTTGGGTTTAGATCCAAGGTTTGGAGTACCTTTCCTATCTCATCCAACAGATAGAAATTTCCATTTCCTAAACTTCTCTGTGCATATTTTGTCTCCAAAAGTTGGTCTTAAACATTTATTATAAATTCTCACTCTCTGTCCAGTTTTCAGATCCTTTTTTATCTGATATACTGATACTTCTAGCAACTTCAAAGTTAAACCTTATTGAGATGTCATACTGTGAAAGCACATATACAAAACCTTTGAGTTAAGATAGGGTGATCATATAAAAAGCATGCAATTCTAGGTAGAATTCATGGGTTTAAAGGATATTGATATATCTAATTTTATAAACTTCGCTGGAGTTATTGTTCATCCATTTTCAATTAAGGCGTAACTTAATCCTCTCATGAAATTATTTTACTTATTATTTTTTCTTTTGGGGGAGATTCCATTTACTTTCTTGGGTTTCCCAATTGGTGCAAAATCTTTGTTGCCTTTTTAGCCAATTCTAGACAGAATTGAACAATGATTAACAACTGGAAGGGGAAGTACCTGTCATTGCGGGAAGGATAACATTGATTAAGAGTGTGTTATCTAATCTACTAGTTTATTACTGGTCTCTACTTAAAGTACCAGCATCAGTGGTGGAATAAATTCAAAGGGTGCAGAGGGTTTCCTATGGAGTGTTAGGGTCCAAGGAAAGGAAGTTCCACTTGGTGAAGTGGGAGAAGGTTTGTAGGGATAAAAAATGGTGGCTTGGGGATTAGAAGGGTAAGATTATTTAATAGGGCATTACTGGGGAAATGGTTACGGAGATTTAATTGTGAAAGGGGGGATTAATGGAAGAGTCATTGAATTCAAATATGGGGTGGTGAATTTTGGATGGGATTAAAGAGAAGTGAAGTCAATTTATGGGGTGTGTGTTTTGGAAAGGGACAATGAATTTTCATGAAGCCTTTATGAATTATGTGTCCTTTAATGTTGGAAGCAGTTCAAGCATTGGATTTTGGGAAGATGAGTGGTTGGTGATTGGAAGGTTATGCGATACATATCCAAAGCTATATAGGTTGAGTAGGAGAAATATCCCAATGTTTCAAAAGAATTGAGGGTGCAGTGTTGTGGTGTCCAAAATTCAGAAGGCCTCTATTTGATTGGGAGATTGAAGAATATGTTAACTTGTTGGCCAAAGTGAAGGAAGTGAAATTACACTTGGATAAGAATGATTAAAGCTAGTGGAAGGAGAGTAGCAAAGGAGTGTTTACTGTAAAATATTTCTACAAGGCATTGACAAGGAATCAGTTTGAAAGGAAAGATGTTAATAGTGTTTGGGGCAATCTTATACCTCCTAGGGTGGAAGTGTTTACATGGTTAGTGGCTTTGGACAGCATCCTTACTCAAGATCATATCAAAGAGTAGGGATTTTCAGCTGGCAGGAAGATATTATCTTTGCCTCAATGAGGATAAGAGTGTGTTTAACCTTTGTTTTGGCTGCTGTTATGCGAAGATAAATTTGGGGGTATTTATTTCTCCAAGTTTAAATTGGAAATGTGGAACCCAAGTTCTCCAAGTGAAATTTTTTGCTCATTGGCCAGCCTTAAGAGGAAGCAGAAAAGCAAAGATAATCTGGAGTTGATTGCCATTCGCAATTTGTAGGGAGCTGTGGAAGGAAAGAAACAGATGAATATTTGAAGATAAATTCAGAGGTCATGATCGTCTTGCTTCAACTTTTGGTAAAAGGATACCGGAGTGGGTTCTGATTCTTCCAGATTTTGCAGAGGATATTAAGGAGTCCTTTGGTTCTGGGTTTTGATCTGTTTTTCACATAGGAATGGGGGGAGTAATGTTGTGTTGTGTTCTTGCTTTCTTAGGTGATCCCTCACCTCCTTTGTATTTTCTTTCCAGTATTAATAAATTTTTTCTTCTTTATTTATTACCAAAAATGCATTTTTTTAATATATTCCATTGTGATTTTCTCCCTGCATTCTGATTTGATTTCTTTGCAGTACTCGTTCATTAAATTTCACATTGAAAGCTTATTTTCTACCATCACATTCTTCTTGTATTGGCATAATACATCTCCAGGGTATGCTCTAATATGTTTATACTGTTCTGGATGTCTAGTATTCATATCCTATTGGAATCTATTGATTAAGTTTAAAAGAAGTAAATGTCATTTACTCAAGTCTGGATCCTTCTACCTGAAATTATGGATGATATTCTCATATGCAATAATATTCCTTATATCGTGAGTGATGCTCTCCCACCTTTTGTACTAATACAAATATTTTTCTTCTTTTGACTATCAAAAAGAAAAAAAATATATTCCTTATGTATGTTTAATTCATAATATTGCATCATAATCAAGAAACGAAATGAATTTGTATCAGTTTTTCTTGTTCTCTTTCCTTTTATTTCTTCAACTGAAATGTGTTAAATGAACTTTATCCAGGCCTGAAAAATTTCAGCAAAAATCGAAGTCTCAGAATTCAAGCAATGGGTTCCAATCAGAGAAACGTTGTAACACCAAAGGGGAACTCAAAGTCCAATGAGGAACCTGATCATCTTCTTGTCCTTGTTCATGGCATCTTGGCCAGGTAAATGCAGATCAAAATTATGGAGATTGATATCTGCCACCATCACTAAGTACACTGTAACATTATAGTTCAATGTCTTGCAATTTTCACAATGAAATGAAAATTTTGGACAATTGGGAAAATATTAGAGGGTACATAGAATTTATAAATGGAACTTCAAGGATTCTTGATAATATTGCATACTCATGGGTCAAAAAGTGTAACAGAAAATTAGCAAGGGAAGATTAAAAGACTGAAATAGTCAAAGATGAAAATTTTGTTCCATGATCATAAAAATGAGGTGTTCTTACATCCAATGGTTAAAATACTTGCATAGAAAAGTGATAAACCAAAATAAAAATTATACTTTCATATATATATTTTTTCTTTGAGCAGTAACAATTAAGTTTTTGTATTGATATCATTTTTAATGATTAGTTGATTACAATGTAACTTTTTTCTTTTTCACAACAAAGTAGGTTTTCTTACCACTGATGGAATCAACAAATCTATGTTTTTATTGCCATGGAAAAAGAAGTGGTTGTTGTTTTACATTTCCAATACTTCTAGATGATTTTGCTGAAATTGACAATACTTACTTATTGTTTATTTCTATTTCCAAGTTGGTGACAGTGACATTCACTTTCACTGATCCTGTAAGTGATGCAGCCCTAGTGACTGGACATATGTAGAAGCGGAGCTGAAAAGACGACTAGGAAGCAAATTTTTGATATATGGTATGGCATATGTACTTTTTCAATGTAATTCTTAGTTTCTTAATTTATTTTCTCAAGAAAAGTGCTATTCTTCATCTTGTGCATGTTTTTGGTTATGTTTTTTTTCCCTTTCAAAAGTCTAATGTCAGTTTTTAAATACAAATATTTTTTCATGGATAACTGAAAAGCTTTTTTGTTGTAAAAACTCTATATACAAGGTGGTGATTAGTTAACCCAAGACTATAGAATAGCAACACCTTTTTACATTTCACCTATTTATGTTGTTCCCCAATGTATTTGATCCCTATTTACCCCATCAGCCATGTTATTTTCTCATCTCTATATCCAGTTGAATCTTGCATTCATCTCCCTTGACAGCCTCTCCCTCATGTTGTCTATGCCACAATGACCCTGGCTTATTATGCTTCATCCACCCAATGGCAGTCCTTGAGTCGCCTTCCACTAGTAGATATGTAATGTTGAGGGATCTCCCTAATCTCAATCCATATAGTAGTGCTATTAGTTCTGCTTTTGCTGAATTGTTATGGCCTATATGGCCTGATAGATAGCCATAAGAGCACTGAGCACCCTCTTAATTTCTAAGAACTCCCACATCTAATGATCCTGGATTACCTAGGGTTCATCCATCAAAATTTAGTTTTACCTGGATCAATGGTGGTAGAGTCCTAACTACTGGTTGATGGCTGATTTGAAGAAGATGAATCAGCAATGTATATCCATATGAACTCACTCTAAATCTGCTTCTGAATTAATAAATTTGTTATCATTCATAAAAAAAAAAATGTATATCCATCCTCTGATATAATAGTTTATTTTGGGCTGTGTTGTAGGTTGTAACTATATTTTCTGTTGGGGAGGGCTAGAGTGTTTATCCCTTCCCTTTTTTCCTTTTTCATTGTACTAAACTTCTTATTTAATAAAATTGCTTCTGTTATTGATAAAAAAATCCTTGAACAAAGTAGTAACCTTTAGCCAATTTGCCACTCTGATCAAAGTAGTAACCTTGAAGATTCTCAAGTTCCTTTCTTCCCAAATCAACCAAAGTATAGCCACCCTGATAATATTTTATTTTTCTAATGCACTTGCAATGAATTTCATTAGCTCTAATGTGAAAGAGGTGTACCGTGTTGCTGTTTTCAGCAAGCTCATCTAATACCTACACTAAAACTTTCACTGGGATTGATGGAGCTGGAAGACGATTAGCAAATGAAGTGAGACTTGATCATTTCTTTTATTTCCTTTCTTTTAAATTGTACACTGATCATGGTTATAGTTGAAAATGGCTTATTTTTTTATGCTGAAATTATGGTTATAAATTTTGGAGTAGGTCATACAAGTTGTCCAACAGACAGAGAGCCTAAAAAAAATCTCTTTTTTAGCGCATTCTCTTGGTGGCTTGTTTGCAAGATACACAGTTGGTGTTCTTTACTCATCAAATACATGCATAAGTGATCATCCTGATGATCTTGCTGATTCTAGTTATGGAAAGTCAGAAGTTTCAGCATGTTCTTCAAAAGGAGATACAATTGCTGGACTGGAGCCTATCAATTTTATCACCCTGGCAACTCCACATCTAGGGGTGAGGGGGAGAAAGCAGGTATTTTTATGGACTATGTTACTATCTCCTATTGTTATCCTATTTATAATGGCCATGTTCATACTAATGCGACATTAATCATTATAATGGCTTTCAAATTTTAACAAATGCTTAGCCTGATCCTGCCAAGTTGGAACCCCTATTAATTACTCATCCTTTTTCCAAGATATGTTGATAGGAGGTTCTCACTTTTTCCATTCAGCAATGCTTCTTAAAGAGGAAAATAAGCTATACATGCTTATATTTTATGTCTTATTTCTTGAAGCATGGGAACTGATGTCAAATTTGAAGAGTTTAGACTATTAGGAACAAAGAAGTTGAAAATTGGGAAATATAAAATTCCAAGTAAATTAACATAATTAGATTGGTTGGTGTTAAATTCAATTCAATTGAAACATTATTAATTTCTTCCATGAGCTCTCCCATTTCTCTAAGGATTAGATTAATCCTTGTATGAACAGCCTTCAGTTGTGCTAGACTTCACTCCCTTTGGATTTGGAAAATTTTGCAAAACGTTTCCTTCTTTCATTCCTCAAAATTACCATCTTCACATCATTGCTTATATTTTTATCAACTATTTTACTAATATTGAGAGAATTTCCTACAAAAAATAATAGATTTCCTCATTAAAAACCCAATTAAGTACTTATGGCCATATTTGTTTCAATGTAAAATGGATAATAAGTTTCTCAGGCTGAATATTTGAGCTATATTTTAATTCCTTTTATGTTAACTAGTAAATGTGTACATGTGTTGCATGTAGCAATTTCTAATGATAATAATAATAATGATAAAATTTGAATGTTCTTATCAGAGCTCATATGACAAAGGTAAGTAATCAAAGTATAGTGTAATTGATATCATAAAAATGATAACCAATTAGGTGGTTATCATTAATCTAAGAACCTTGTCGAAAGTATATGGGATCAGCTACATGAAGCCTCTTTCACCATTCAATTCTATTCAATGTTGATTCATCATTAAATTGTGGGCACATATATCATTTTTTATATACTTGCACCTAATTCCTTGATTTGCCCCTGGCTCTTCTAGCCCCTTCAACATTAAATTGATTACTTTTTTTAATAAATGTTGTATATGATTTTGCATGCACATGACCAAACCATCTCAATCTATTTTCTCTCATTTCCCCCATTTTGGAATTTCTCCTAGGTTCCTTCATATGCCACCAATCAAATGATATTCATTAAAATTCATTTGAGGGGGGAGGGGTGATGATCGATTAAATCTCTTTTGGTATCATACCTTCTGGCATCATATATATGAAGAATATATAGAATATTAAAGACATGTTCAATTTTTTTATAAATTTTGTATTTTCACTATTTGTTTTATGACATCACAAATTAACTTGTTTAATTGGGAGGGAAATGAAATGACAATTGATGCTTAGAACATTGTTTTTATCTCATGGTCAAATCAATTGGTCAAACAAGTAAAACCATTACCTAACAATGATTTTGAGTCCATTTATAACCAAAACACTTACTTGCAAAAGACCTTTTACTTGGTTAGAAACATGATGACCTAATTGAACCATTTGACCTAGTTAGTGGGATCATTGATTATACATCAATTTTTCTAATTTTTGTATTCCACTTGTATCATTAATAAAAAATAATTCTTATTTGTCACACTTAATTTTTAATATGCTAAATATATAATATTAGACATGTGCCCAAAATTGTTCTAGTACTTTTTGTGCTTTTTCATAATTCTTTGTATTTATTTATTTTTAAAATTTTAATTTTTTAATTATGACACCATGGGCTGACCCAATTTGGCCCAAATGGTTGAACCACTGACCTGCCACCCAAATAGAAAATGGGTTTGTTTTTGATTGATTTTAAATTTCATATTTTAATTTCATCATTAATAAATACTTCATATTTATCATATTTCTTTTTAGGGTTTCCATTGTATGGTCTGGGTTTTTGCCTACTCTATTGGGGCATTTCTATTGTATATACTTCCTTTTTTCTCTTTTAATAAAGTTTTAGTTTACAAAAAAAATACCGTACTTGTGTTTAATAAATGACGATATATAATAATAGTGATGTGCCCAAAATTTTCTATAGATTTCCTTTATTCTTATTATGTTTTTGTATATTTATCTATTTTTAATTTTTATTATTTAATTATGGTATTATGTGTTAATCCTTTTAGCCCAAATGGTTGAACTACTTAACTACCACTTAGATGAAAAAAAAATGGTTTCATTTCTAACTTGATTTAAAAAATATAGATTTTTATACTATGAAAATCATTATTTCTGGGCTTAATTAATGGAATTTAATGATAAAAACAAAAATACCTTAAATATAGGATTCATTGACATAGAATGAGTTAATACCTTAAATATGGGATTTAATGAGACGGAATTGAATGAACTTAATAGTAATATTGAAATTACAGTAGAACTCTAACTTCTAATTAAATCAACTAAGGAGAAGTCCTTGAATAGTTGCAAAGCTTTCAGCCAATGCAGGATCTTGACGGTAAAGCTCCCAACAAGTGCTTCCTTGGATTTTTCTTGCCCTTGGAAAGTCCTATTATTTCTTTCTTCCCAAATCGACCAAAGGACGGTTTCTCTCACATGAACTTTTTGCTTTTAATTCTCTCACATCTGCTGGAATCTAGACTTGAGCCTTTAGAGTTCATGTCATTTTTTATTTGGGAAAGAAGATCAACGGGTCATTTGGGCAAGGAAATCTCATCTGATTGGTAAACTAGTGCATTTTCTAGTCCTTATTTTAATGCTATTAAAGTTTTTTTGGATTTCCTCTTTTGTTGGCTCTTTGGAAGGATTTATATTTTCCTCCTTGTCTTGTGAGTTATGCTTCCTAGCATCTGAACTAGTTAATATCTTCAAGCAGATTCTGGTTGGTTGTTGATCATTTAGTCAAGTTTGTTGTTTTTTTTGGGAGTTATTACTTTTCAAGGAAATATTGTAGAAGCTATGCAACTACTCTGGTATATTTATGATTATCAATATCAATGTGTGATATTGGATCTCAAGGTGGCTATTTGGTATTCGAGAAAATGTCTCGATGGTGTAAATTTTTTTGCAATGGTTCTCCATTGTTATGATCAGTTCTGATATGATCTTGTTTGTGGCTTTGTTTGATATTTAGACTATTTTGGTGAATAATAAATCTATTATCATCAGTCAATATCTGGTTTGTTTACTCGTACATGTTTTGCATGGAAGATGTTTGATGAAATGTTTCAGTAATGATCCTTTATTGTGTTCATCAGTTTTGAGTTGGTTTTCTGGTTGGCCAACTCTGATTCCTCTCTTTGGTTTATGGAGTTCATAGTTGGCTTTTTGTTGACCAACTCTAATTCTTTGTTTGGTTTATGGAGTTCACCATAGTTGACTTTCCGCTAGCCAACTTTGTTTTGATAATTCTATTGGCATTTCTGATTATCTAGTTGTTTGACATGGTTGGTATAATATGTGTTGGATATTTGTTGGCATTTCTGATTATCTACTTGACTCTTTTGCATAATATATGTTGGATTTTTGTTGGCCAGTTTTAGTTTGGTGATTACTAGATCATGACTTTGCTCTACTTTGGCTTTCCGACACAAGTTCATATCACTTTGGTACCTCATCCGCTTTTTTTTTTTTTTATCAATAACAAAACTTTCATTAATCAAACAGGAAAATTAATTACATAGAGGGGGAGATAAACTCTCTTAACTCTCCAGCAGAGGCAAGAGCCCCCAAAGTGAGAAAAACCAGAATTACAACTGAGCCCAAAATATAGATTCCATGACCACCCCTGTTATGGATGCCTTCCTCGGGAAGACGTACCATCGCCGCCGACAGCAACAGGCACCTGACCCACCACCAGCAGCAGCAGTGATTCAGTGATGCTCATCCTACCCAATTCGGCAACAACAGCCTTATCTAGATTAGATTAGCTCATTTTGCTTGTTCTTATCTTGTTGTTCTTATCTCTTATCTTATCTTGTTAGTAGCTTATCAGATTAGGATTAGCTTATCTTATCCTTGGCAAGATAAAACTAGAAGTCTCCCTATTCAGCAAGGAGACTCCCTTTGATTAGGACTCTTGTAATCTCCTATTTAAGGAGACCCCATTATTGAATGAGATATCGAATATTCAGTTGAAGAAGTGAGTTAGGAGAGTTGGTGATCTCTTGAACAAATCACCAGAGGCGCCAAGATAGGTTCATCAAGRGCAGGAAGGAACAAGGGAAAACAGGAGGTTTTCCACGTGGACCGACTCGTGACGAGATCCTATTCCCGGGCCCTCAACAACTTGGTATCAGAGCAAGGCGTCATGGGTGATCTGGAGCAGCTACCATCCAGGGTCCACGACCTCGAGCACCAACTCGTGGAGACCAGCTCCGAAGTCCATGAGATCAAAGACGAAGTGAGGGAGCTGCGACGCCTGATGAAGCTATTCCTTTCTAGCAGGGAAGGGAACTCTGAAGTAGGGACAGCCGCCAATGGCCGCCGACCAGATCTGCCAAAGTCTTCCAGCGAGCAGCAGTCCGTTAGCCAAAGAACTGCAGTCGTCCCCAAGTACAACAGGCTGGAATTTCCGTCGTACAACGGCAACGGAGACCCCTTAGGCTGGCTATATCGCCGCGAGCAATTTTTTCGGAACCAACGGACAAATGACCGGGATAAGGTAAGTCTAGCCGCCTTTCACTTAACAGAGGAAGCACAACTTTGGTTTTATNCCGGTATAGGTCAATTCTGAACTGTTTCTTGCTGATTTATTTGTACTTTCATTGGATGGGTTCGATATTGTTCTAGGGGTCAAGTGGTTAATTACTCTAGGCTCGATTTTGTGGGACTTCAGCGCACTCACCATGACCTTCCACCTAAATGGAAAACAAGTTTCATGGCACGATTGTAGGGTTAAAGAAAGGACAACACAGGTCCATGCACTTCAAATAGAACTGGCAGCCATGGAAAAACTTCTCGCCGAGTTTTCAGATCT